CTGAGCGTGTCGTGGTTACAGCCTTTTTGTTATCGGGAGAGGCAGGATTTGGTTGCATCCGAGGCTTATTGTTTGGCGAGGTCTCTATGTCTAGGAAGGCTGGCTTGAGTCGGTCGACAGACACGGCGTCTTCTTTCCCAGTGTGGTCGACGATAAAAACCTTTTCTTCTTGTCTGAGCACTCTGAAAGGTCCGTCGTGGATGGGCTGAAGTGGTTGACAACTGCGTCGCGTCTGATGAAAACGTGGGTGCGTGTAGGCAACTCTTGCGGGCTGAACGAAGTAGTGGACCGTAGGCACGGATGTGTAAGTTTTAGCTTGTTCATAGTCTCCCGCAATCGCTCGACGTAGTTGCATGGGTCTGGCCGTGTTGGTGGTGAAGTCGCGGTCATCTGGCGTATGAAAGTTTGTGCAAGTTTGTCAAGAAGCCTCGGCACATTCGCTAATCTTCATCTACACCGTGATAAAGGCTTGACCGGGAGTGGTCAAATGGATGAAGCGCAAACTGCAGCTTTATCAAACATCCTATGTAATTACCAATATGCTGATTTGTGTTACTTGCTCCAACAAACATTTCAACTTTATTTTCTCATCTTTTGTTGCTTTTCACAGCTAGATGACACGTTAACTCACGCTTGATGACAGGTAAGTCAAGCGAAATTCAGACAAATTAAAAGGCGCAAAAGCGCCAATAAAATTTGGGTCACACAAGAACTTGAGGTCAAAGACATTGCGCCTTTGTGCATAAGAGCGAGGCTTGGCCATTCGCGTTGTGAAATGAATGCCAAATTAATCCAGTTCACAATGATATAGTCTCGTGGCGAATTGGCACGATCCGCAGTTTAAATATATTTCTACTTAACAGTTCCTAGTAGCTGCTAAATTACAACCAAAATAATGAATAATCGCTGGTAAACGAAGGACACCACTTCCAACCCACCGCCCATCCACACTTGCATCCGCCTTCAGTTCACACACCAAAGCCACAACTCCAGTGACTGCAACAACAACAACAACCACGACAAATATTCCTACTACCACTAGTACCACACGCGCATACAGTCGTACGTGGGCGGCACTGTACGCAGTAAGCGGAGTTTCTGTTTCAGGAACTGACAAAGCAGAAGTCATTGCGTTTACATGACTAGGCAAGCATCTACGGCCGTTTGCGTCTCTACACACGAACTGCATTTCCTAAATGTTTTGTCATGTTACATAATGTGTCAGGAGTATCGTTATGCACATAGTGTTTGTTGGGGCACAATGCAACACTAAGCACCCAAAGATGAGGTCGAAAAAAGAGAATGACAGATAGTCAATCGTTTATTCAGTCTCTTAATTCGGTTGTGTAGTGTGCGTCACAGCCGCGCAAGCTTAATGTAATTACTGACCAAAACATCTCAGTAAGCTAGCTAAAGTCAGAGGATGAAGCACCTGGGAAAATAACAACCAGTCAACACCAACTAGCCCTACTTGATTTGCGGAGTCTACACACGAAGGACCGACACAGTGCTTTTGACACATTTCCATGGCACAAGTTAACAGGCGGCATTGGAAACACAGACTTCATTCCCTTCCGTCAACAACGAATCAGTTGCACGACCACGTAACACGACGACGAGGTTGCCACTATCCTGAATTTACGTACTACGCACAATGTGCACTAAGATTATATTTTATAGTGTCTAACAGTCATATCGAGCACCGTCGGTGGGAACAATGCTGCAAAAGTAGAAAACAAATACATTTAGAAAATAGATAAGCAAAAGAAATTAAACCAATTCGACTTCTTGCAGAATGAATGCATCGCTTACTTACTATCGTCGCTCTATGTTTTTCAGTTCATATAACCACAAGCACATTTGTAATGAGCTTAAACTGGAGGGTGTGTAATCTCAATAGACGAAATTCCGTTAAAACTGAACCAAACGAGGCAAAGTCACGTGAATCAAAAGTGCAAGGAAGAAAGATAGAAATGCTTTCTACAAGGCCAACTACGCTAATAGATCAGGATTTGCATTCTTTTTTACTATACCGGAAAGAGACACAAATTCTAGTAAAATAACTCACATACGACATATTCGAAGTAATTCCTTTCTAGATTAAATAAACATGTGAGAGGCATGGAAATTGGAACTTTACCATTGCATATTTGAGCATACCTATTGTTGCCAATTGTCTGCTATGCAGAAGGCCTGCATGGCGGCATACATTTGACCAAGCCACTTAGGCGTGTTTTTTTTGAACCACAGATGTTTCAAAGACACGAAGGTAGCATACTCCATAATATCGAAATAGTTAAAAAATATGACTACATTCTCCAAGTGCATATGAGTTACAAATTCCAATTTTTTCGTTGAAAATAGGGAATTTGTCTGGATAAAATATATTCAGTAAGAGTGAGTCAAATAAACTTGAAAAACAAAACTTAATTACGAACCATACAACCCTAAAAAACTTACATTATAACTTGTGCCCTCGCATGGATTCGAATGGAAATCTACCTAAAAACAAATGGACTCACCACACACACAATAATTTCTTATAAATAAGGGTCTTTTGTGTCCTACACGATTGAAAAAGTAAAACAAAACAGGTTTCACACTTTGATGATAACAAGTCGTTCAAATATAACACAATGCATTGATTAACTGTTTGTTGCTGCTAAAAAAGCCAATACGGTGGGTGTAGTTTATTTAGTAGAAGCTAAATTTAGAGAAAAAAAGCGCAATCCTGTATTTTACTAAACATCCAATGCATTTAACAATATGCTGGTCAGTTTTACTTGATTCATCGAACATTTTTTACAATTTTTGTAATTACAGTTCAAATATAGCACATGCTTTATTATTATAAAGCCGTGAAACATATTTGCTAACAAATGTCGAAATTAATCTTGTTATTTACTTTTGGACGCATGCCAACAAAAATCATCAAAAAATTGTTGTGATTTGGAAGATGTATAATTAACATATTAAAGTATAGTAATCTATTTGTGCACGCAGCAAGGTGTAAAATAGTTCACAGTAAGAAGAGACATGTAACACAATTCACCTCTTTCTTAACAATCTTTTTTAGTAAGCAACTTAACGTTTTAGGTACAAAAACTAAAAAAAAGTCATGAGCATTTGACATAAATGCAATTTTAGGTAAGAATGGGGAGACGTGAAATACCTGGTGTTGTTTAAATGCTTCACAATTTACCGTTGCCGGAAGGGCGTTGTGGAAGTAGCTGCACATTTTGCGACTGCACTGGTGTTTGGTGTGCGCGGCAAACCGTAGCTGTCGATTGACTGGAAGTTTTTTAGCATTACAAATTGAGATGGTGGGTCGTTATTGTTTGCTTTATGAGTTGTTTTAGGCTGTCTGTAGGCCACTGGTTAATGTTTACGACTTGTCCGGCGCTTGCACAAAATCCTCAATCAAAATTCCGGCCGTGTTCAAGGCGCCAATGCGCAATGATGTGGTGAACTTTGTTCACGATAGTCTATTGAAGAATTCACGTCAGCCTTACGCCGTCAGCGCTAAGGCTGGTCACCAGACATCGGCGGAGTCGTGGGGCACTGGTCGAGCGGTTGCGCGTATCCCGCGAGTGCGTGGTGGTGGTACGCACCGGTCAGGTCAGGGCGCATTCGGCAACATGTGTCGCGGTGGTCACATGTATGCCCCAACAAAAGTGTGGAGGCGTTGGCATCGCCGCGTTAATATCCAACAAAGGCGTTTTGCCATGTGCTCAGCCATCGCCGCCACGGGGGTTCCTGCCCTAGTGATGGCGCGTGGGCACCGCGTAGATCGTGTTCCGGAACTTCCACTCGTTGTTTCCGGAGAAGTGGAGAAGCTGAAGAAGACGAAGGAGGCAGTTAAGGTTCTGAAGAAACTCCGGGCGTGGTCTGATATCCAGAAAGTTTATCAGTCCAAGCGGTATCGTGCTGGAAAAGGCAAGATGAGGAACCGCCGGCACGTAATGAAACGTGGTCCGATTGTCGTCTACAAGAAGGACGACGGTGTGACGCGTGCATTCCGTAATATACCCGGCGTGACGTTGCTGAACGTCAAGTACTTGAATATTCTCAAGCTCGCCCCAGGTGGGCATATGGGAAGATTCACTATTTGGACTGAAGGTGCTTTCCGGTCCTTGGACAAATTGTATGGCACATGGAAAACGGGAAGCACCCTCAAGAAGGGCTTTCACTTGCCATCTTCAAAGATGGCCAATACGGACCTAAATCGACTTCTGACATGTCGTGCCGTCCGTAATGTCCTTCGTCCAAAACGAATGGGTTGCCTTCGGAAACGACGAAGTGTGAAAAAGAACCCGTTGAAAAATATGCAGGTATGCTTGCAATTTCTGTCGTCGTCATTCGTTACCTTGTAGGTTCTTATTAAATTGAACCCAAATGCCCGTGCTGAACGCAATGCTCGTGTTGCCCAAAATAACTCGACTGTGAGACGCAAGCCTAAGAAGTCGAAGTTGTCTGCAAAATCTAAGGAGGCATCAAAGACGACAGATGACGTCAAGGCGTGATCTGTTGAATAAAGTCTTTGTGAACTAGCCGATGGCGTGTTATTGCCGGACTTGTGAGAATTTGGTTGTTGTGCTATTGGAAGGGGGGCTAGAGGAGCCGTCAGTCGTTTAAGTTCTTTGCTACAGGTCATTCTGGTGGTGTCGTAGTGAGAAAGTTAGAGGATTGGTTTTGCTCGAGTTTCACATTACTGTATCGTGTTGTGTTGCGTCACTTGACTTCGTTGTAGCTGTCATAATCGATTATCTTGAGGCTCAGTATAGGCGACGAAGTGTCGTTGGAGTGGATTTTTTTAGCCGCCCCAAGGTGTGATGTTGTGTGTCTTAAGATGGTTTTTTACATGCCGCGTGCGTTTCCCACTGAGCCTTAACTGTCAAGGTAGTGTCAATTCATGGCGTTAGTTGCCAATGTAGGTAAATACGCGTGTGTTCGTCAGTGACTGTGCCCGGTACCATCGTTTCTTGTGTCAGGTTGTCGAAATCTCGTCCTGTGCGGGCATCGAAGGGCTGATTTCGAGTAACATTAACTCATTCGGGGTGAAAACGGGCTGGTCATCAGGACCTTCGCTTTCCTTATTGGGAGCCTGTCCATCGCAGTTCAATCGCATTAAACACCGCAACTGTCGGACCTTGTTCTCCCAACATTGCACGGAGGGTCATTCTCTCTGCCACGGTGGCTCGCCTAGGGTGGATTGAAGATCCATTCGCACTTTCTAGTTGTTG